GCCTCCCAAAGTGCTGGGGTTACAGGACTGAGCCACCACACCCCGGCCTATCGGTTTTGTTTTATTTTGTTTTAATCAGTGATGAGTAATAGTGGGGAATAGTTTACTAGTTAATGCATGGGAGGAAGGATTGTGGAAATCTGGCTGGGGAATTCATATTACTTAACTATTTGAGCGCATGTATAGTGGACATTTATTTCTTCTTGTTAATGCTTTTTTCACTACTTTCTTTCAAAAATGCTATTTTGAATATACGAAATATGAAATACTGTTCTGTTTGAATATAGAAAGTACTGTGAGATTGTTCAAATTATTTGATGGACATATATTGAAAACTGGCATGATTTGATCTCTGATTCAATGTTTGTGAAGGGAAAGTGGTTAGCTCTACAGTTGGGTGAAACTGGATGATACAATAACTTAAGTCATTTCCTTACGGCAGTGATTCTTAACCTGGCTGAACCTTAGATCACTTGGAGAGCTTGTAAAAGTGTCGATGCTTAAGTCCTATCCCAGCACAATTACATCACAGTTTGTAAGTGTCTGTATTTTTAAAAAAACTTTTCAGAAGAGTCTAATGCATAGCCAGGATTTAGGACCACTCAGTGCTTTAAGGGTTAGAGATTTGGAGGAATGGTTTGAAATAATAAGGTTTGTGCATATGATATAGTAAGTTTGGGTTTGGACAGGTGCCTCCAGCCAGAGCTGATATATTGACAGTGCCTTAGCATGGAAAAGCTGTTTACCTTCTTGTTTGATTGGTTAGGAGAAAAATGTCCTAATTTTCTGATGGGGCTCCTAAAAAAGTTGTAGAGAGCAAAATAGCACCAGTGGCAACACATTATTTTGAACTAACATAAGTGACTAATACTCCAATAGAGGGATAGCAAGATATAAAATAATGCTATAAGAATTTTCATGTATCAAATGCATTTTTATATTCTCTATTTAAAAGAAAAGTATTTATAACTAGAGCTTTGTAATTTTCACTTTCTTTCACCTCAGTGGGGTTATTTTTAACTCACTTATAGCTGGAGTTGAAAGTATATTTTTTAGAAGTCAATGAGACTTTTCAAAGGAACAAGAGGCTATGGTATCCTCTAATAGTCATTCTTAAACATACTATTCTCAGGAAATGGAAAAGCACATCTGATTGTATGCAAAACATTTGTCCAGTTGCACTGTTTTATATAGAGACAGAACTGTTAGTGACTATAGTTGGGGGATTTACAAGGCTCTAGAGTAATCTGGGATGGATAGAAATGTAGCTTCTATATTGATGCTACTGCAATTTGGCTTGTTATAGAAAAGCTCCTTTCTGACTAATATTTTCCAAAATGAACAAGTGTTTGAATCAGAGCTTCTCACAAAAGACAGAAATAATGGGACTCTTCATTTGTTGACCCGCAAAAATGACTGATTAAAAACAGTGTCTTGATTTCTCCACACTGTCATCCCAAATCAAGACTTGATTGTGAGTGGGGAGAGTAATCTGATTCTGTACCTGAAGTGAAAGATTAATGTCACCAGACTGGGTGAAGCCATCTAGTAGGTAATATTTTTTTTTCTGTTTTAGAAAAGTAATTACTAGTAGAGTAAAGAATATACTCCAGCATACAAAGATTTAAGATGACATGAAATCTTTGGAGTTACAGTTATGAGTTGATTTATTCCAGAGAATCCAGAAAAATGGTTCAATGAAACCATGTCTTCATGGTGAAACTGTGCATTTCAACCCAACCCTTTTAGAGGGAAGAATCGGTATTGAGATTAAAAAAAACAAAAATCCATCTAAGGAAAACACTCAAGGTAAAGGCTCAGGATTTAAAAAATAAAATTAAATAAAATTACCCTTGCTTTGATCCTGAGGCTAAATCTAAAGTGATCTGCAAAAACAGGCCTTTTTTGTTTAAGGATTCCCAGTCCTTTGAGGTGAGGTGTATGCTGTGTTTAATAAAGATTATGTGACTGATTACTTTTCACATTCTGACAGCTCCCTGTGGTGTCTTTTATGTGAATGGAGGAGATTATATTAAAGCTCTGTCTTTCTGCATAGTGACCACCTGCTCTTAAAGAAGGTTGTAACAAACTTTCTTGGAAAGAATGTTAGGAGTCCAAAGCGTGATACAGAAACTGATGGGACTGGTCTGCATCTAGACTGAGCAGTACAGTGAATAGTGATGAAGACAGGAGGATTGAGCCCCAGGCAAGCTACTATATCTGCTCAGTTGTTATATTTATCAAGGATTACACTAAAACCTAATTCTGATTATGAACAAAGTGCTATATCCTGAAGTAAAGATGGTGAGTAAACAAGAACAAGGGATAACCTTCTTTTTCTGTGATGTGTATGCATTTGATGAGCTTTATGAAGGTATTTCCCTAATTGATTTCAAGGAAGAATTTTCTAGGGTGAATGTATGAAAGGCAATTTTTACATGAAGCGTTAGTGTAAAGTCAAGTCAATGATTAGTAGAGATCCTCAAAGTAATTGTACTACATAGAAATCAATATAAATGCTGTATTAATGCATTTATTTCACTTATGAATCTGCATGTATGCAGCTGGAAATAACTGCAGTCTTACAATAAGCTAGGCTGAAGTCTGCATTCAAAATAGCAAAAGGGAAATGTCTTCTATGTCAATATCAACTATAGTTATAAATTGAGATCTGATAAAACAATGCAAAAAACTTTGTAAGTTTTAAAATATTTCTATAAGATAATATGACATTCCATGGCCTATGTAAAAGTTAGCATGCCCTTTCCCTTGATATTTTCCCCTTAACTTTCTCCTTCAATTGGAGTACTTGTTTTTCAGTCCTTCAGTCATTATTCTGTCTCTGCATGCTGTCCTTGGGCTGTCCTGACTATACTTTTTGGTTTTAAAATTTAGGATCTTCAAGTCTTTTACTTCAAATTTGCCATGGTCAAAATTGAGCTAATTTCCTACCCTCTTTAAATCTCTTTATGATTTCTCCTTACCTGTGAGTAAATGGCATCATAACCACCATGTTCAGGGGGCTAGAAACCTATGAGTCCTCATGCATTCTTCCTCAACATCCAGTCCTCAAGTTCTATTGGTGTTCATTGTTTTTTTGTTTTGTTTTGTTTTGTTTCTTTGTTTGTTTTTATCTTCACTGCCACAAGTCTGATTTTATGCCCTCATTTTTCACATGAAAATGACCACAGCTTTCTAACTAGCATCCACTGTCTCACCACTTACAGAGAAAACATCTAAATTCCCTGGCACTCACACATGACCTTTGACAACGTGGTCTCTGCAAGTCCAATCTTTCATCAGTTTTCTGCATTTCTCACCAGGTCCTCCCTTTTACTCATTCTCTGGTGATAATGAACTTCCAGGAGCTCCTGGATCTCCCATACTTACTTGCTCACCCTTCTTTCTCTTTCTCTCTCTCTCTTTGGAATGCCCGCTTTTTAATTGCCCACTTGGAACATTCCTTTTCATCTGTTGTATCACCAGTTCCACTCCTCTACCCCACACTACGCATTAATAAAGGTCCCTTGGAAGGTCCCTATTATGTGGCCCATGCCCGTTGAGCAAGTGCTACCTTGCTGTAAAACTTCCCACAAAGAAGTTAATGTTGGTAAAGTGCCACTTGGAAATTAAAGCACTGTGCTTTGAGGAGTTAAATCCAATGACCTTGTAAAGAACTGGAAATTGTTAACAATGGTGCTGTCTCTCAAGCCTGGCATACTGGAGAGGCTCTGTGTTGACACCAAGGTCTGAGCTCGTGAGGTAGAGGGGAGGGGGAGGCATGGTGATTGTGATAAATAGGGGGGCCCAGACAATATGAGTCTTTCTGTCTCAGGAAGCAAAATAAGATCACTGAAGAGTAAAGCTAGGGTACAGAATGGCAACACCAAGTTGAAGTGTTGATGCAAGAGTTGATGACAATGAGATGAAGCTGAGCAGGGAACCAGGTAGAAATGGGACTGAACAGGTACAGGGAGGCAATGGAGCAAAGAGGTTTCTGGGCCACTATCAGGATCAGTCATGAAATGTCCTTAGCTTCTCTCTTTTTTTTTTTTTTTTTTTTTTGGAGGATGTGTGGAGGCATAGAGCTTGGTCACATTGGGCTGACACAGGTCACTGATTCCTGCAACGTCTAGTGATGCATTTCCAAACTCAGGTTAAAATGAAGGTCAAGAACTCATGTTTTGCCACTTCTAAATTATTGGGATTAGACCATGAGCTTGTTTCCAAGGTATTTTTCAGTACTGCTATGCTATGACTCAATCATGATTTTGTTTTTACTTGGTAATCTTAAATATGGACAATAATTGCGTGTTGCAAATTTAAAAGTGTCATGCCAAAGTGGTTTGTCTGTTACTTAACTTTCATTTTTCTTTTAATGTTGGAAATTGTGATACAAATTTATAGCATCATAAATTAACAGAAATTACTCAAGACTTTATAATTTCTTAAAATGTTATGGCATGCTTTTTTTGAAAACTCTACCTTTTATAACACCAAATTTGTCAGATGAAGTTTTAGGTATCAAGAAAGAATTCTGTGGATTTTTGTGTTGTCAGGGTATCTTAGATTGTAATTTTATGTATTTTCCTTTTGGTACCTCATAAAAATTAGCAGGGCTTTCTTGAGGTGCATGCTTTGTCAATGCAATTTGATGATGGAGAAAGACATTTAAGTCCAGAATGATTGGTGTAAAGTACAATGGATGAGACTGTATAGTTGAATTTTCCAGATGATAGAAAATTGACAGTAAAGAAATATATTCAAAATAGATTTTGAAAGAATTGTTGAATGTTTAGCTGTCACTACATATTATCTTGGACACAGTACAGATAATCTGAATGGAAAATTACACTGAAAATGTCTTCCCCTGAGTTATATTTGCTGGTTCTTACATAAAATGTTATTTATAGAACAGATTTTATTGTCTCTTCTCTTGCTTTATTCCTTTATAACCTTCTAGCTAACTGTCCTGACTTCAGACCTCTGTTAGAGCTGCCAGATGTGCTCTCCTGGCCCATGAAATCAAGCGTGGGTGAGACCTGGTGCAGAACAGGAAGGCGACCCATACTTGGTTTCAGAGGCTGCGAGAATACCTGCGATTTAGAAGGAATACCATTTATGTTTATGCAGGCCTTCCAGAGAACAAATAAAATACATTATAGACATAAAAAATAAGAGATTAAATTTGTGATTATATTGCATTTCTGTTCCAATGGAATTTTTAAAAAACACATATTCTGAGTAAATTGAACCAGGTTGACAGCTAATCCTTTGATGTCTCTGTTAATGATTTTAAAACATTATACAAATCCAGAACTGTTTACTCCTTCAAAGTATACCTCCTCTTCTCCCACTTCTCTTGGCTATTGTGTTCCATTTGCCCTTGCTCTGGACTAGTTCCTTGGGTAACTAACAGAGATGGGTGGACAGAGATGCCATGACAGGAGTATGGATTTTGCTGGGTCCTCATTTCTGCTTGGGCATCTATCAACTCTTTTTCCAACATATTTTTGTTTCCCACACAGCCCCACTCACAGATGCTTGCCTATAGGGCCAAAAATCTCTAGTTAGCAATCTGCCAGAATCCTGCTTTTTTGTGTAGGAGATTGGAGTTTTTTCAAATAATCCATCTGGTAAAATGTAGAGAAGTAGAGAAACTGAGGTAAATAAAATGTATATTGTTAAATACTTTATTGCATACATTGTACCTATGCTGATAATTAATTTATAGACTATATCTGTTGAGCTGGTGTTGGTTAAGGCTTTATTTGCTTGTTTGTTTGTTCTATACTCTTTAAAAACTTTTGTGGGTGAGTAGGGAGGGTATAATGGTGTTGATATATGTTGTCATCCCTTAGGCCAGAGGAACCATTTCACAATTACTTTTTATTTTCTCAACAAGAACTCTGAAGGCCTGTATCTTTGGCACAGAAAATTAAGCTATAAAGACAAGTTTTGCCAAGTATATATTACATATCTCCTGGCCATGGATTTTGGTAGGCTGCGAGAAAAAGATGAAATTCATTTCCAAAGAAGATTTATTTTGTATTTCCTTAATTGACTTCCATATTTGTAATACATTTTCTATTTATAAATGGAATTTCTTTGTTCCACTTAAGGTACCTTAATTTATAAACACACAAAATTAATAAAGGACATTTCCCCATTTTGTTGGGTTCTGAGAAGAATAAACCAAATTCTTTGCCCAGGCTTTTACTTTGTTGGAAAATGCATTGGAGAAACATGGTATTCTTTGAATTATCTCAATTAAAGAGCTTCTCCTGGACATTCTAAAGAAGTGCTGTCTGGTAGATTTTTCTGTGTTGACAGAAATGACCTACAATCTGCACTAATCTGACAGACATTAGCCACAGGGCGCTTGAAATATGGCCAATGAACTAAATTTTAAAATTTATATAGCAACATGTGATCAGTGGCTACTATATTGTAAAGCATAGTTCTAGAGTACTTTATTTAGATAATTTTTTATAGATTACAAGTTTACCAAAATTCAGCTTTATCTATTCTCTTATGAATTTGATAGGTTTTGGTTAGTGGCTTAAGTTTATGTATTTTAGAGCAGTTTTAATACATTACCATGTATTTTGACTTAGTACTTTTAGGCTGTTACTAAACCAAACACAATACCATCAATTGGATAATTTATAGATAACAGAACTTTTTATCTCACAGCTCTGGAGGCTGGGACGTCTAAGGCACCAGCAGATTCATTGTTCGATGAGGGCCTGTTTCATGATTCCTAGATAATACCTTCTCACTTTGTCCTAACGTGATAGAGAGGGCAAGCAACTCCTTCAGGCCTCTTTTATAATGGCACTAATTCCATTCTTGAGGTGTCTGTTCTTGTGACTTAATCACCTCCCAAAGGCCTCCCCTCCTAATACCATCAACTTGGAGGTTAGGATTTCAACATACAAATTTTGGGGCAACACAAACATTCAAACCATAGCATTCTTATACCATAAACTACTCACAAAATACAGAGTGAGCTAAAACAATTCTCCAAGTTTTAAACAATTTATATGGTTGCCACTTTATTTTTAATGAAAACAAATTAGATTTATGCTGAAAGCTAAAAGCTGGCCAATTATCAAGTGATCCCACAGTTACTGAGTGTTACTACTTGGACAGCATTAAATAAACCATTCTTTAAGTTACAAAAAAAGGATTTGAGGTGATTCCTCTTTTCAATGATCTTATAGTCTTGATAGAAAGGCAAAACTAGCAGTTGTGAAATAATTAAAAATAAAGCAGTGCTAAACTCTATTATGTAAAATAGGAGTATATATGAAGGAGAGATCAGTGTGGATCATAGTAGCCAATCTCTGCACTTTAAAGTTAAAAGGACTCTTAGAAATCATTCATTTGGAGTTTTAGAAATAATGAAATTGTATTTTGTCAGGTTTACATAGTCAAGATTTCACAGCCAGCTAATGACATGTCCAGTGCTTGAATAAAGGTCTCCTGACCCTCAATTTTGTGATCACTTTTTACTGGTTAGCCTTATACCTCCTATTGGAGGAGTTTGTCCTTAACAATTCATTAAGAGATAGCTTGGGGTCAGCAATTATAAACCGAGTTCTATTGCAAATATCAGTTTCATGTAGCAGAGTATTCCCTAAACTTTAGTTGTTTACTCAACACATTCACAATGTTTTTTTCATATCCTTCTACCATCTGTAATATTATTTATCCTTTTTTTCCATTTAAAATTCATTACAAGGAAAATGAAAGGCCAGAATTATTTGTCATAAGTAAAATGTAACTAGGAAGTAAACACCTGAAAAATAAAAGCTAAGCTATAAATTCCCAGGCAGGCACTTTGCCTAAGCCAGAGGACTGTTCCCTTTCTTATAAAGGAGATTAGTGAATAATGGAAAAATATTGATGCCATAGTCCTACATTACTATAAAGAGCAATCGTTTACTTTACCTCCAGTTTCAAAATTGTGAGATTTACAAGGTCCAACTGTGGAAGCTAATATATGTCCTATTGACCTCCTTATGGCTGTTTTGTGACTGCCTTAGGAAGAAATTAGCCCTGGACCTGCAGTTCTGCATGAGCTCATGTGCATGTCTGCATGAATTTGTGTGTCTGTATTGGTTGGTGGCGGGGATTAGGGAATGGTGGTTACTTTTTAAATTGTGTAATAATTGTGTACATTTCCTGATTTTCTTTCTTCATTAAAACAAAGCTCTTTTGAACTGGTTGCTTTTGTCCTTTACGAGGGAAAGTAATTGTATAGTTAATCCTACTTTTTTCTAATGTAATTAAATGGAATTTAGATAGATTATCTCTCCATATACAAACATGCAATTCTTATCATTTATAAAGCAAAAAAACACTAAAAACCCTTTTATTGTTTTTGTTAGAGCAGTCGGGGCACATTAATAACTCTGAGGCTTATGAAAGAATGACATGCATTTTTCTCTTAAAGATGAAGAATGCTGTCAAAATATACTTTTAAAAATTAAGAAAAATAAAGATGATTCCTACAAATATCAAGTGAGGATATTTCACAGTTTTTTTAACCCATTAATGAGAACCCTCAGTATGGTGAATCAGTTGTAAAGAGACTTTGGAAAGCAGATATTTGTATAGTTAGTTTGGAAAAGTGTGATGAAATATGTTTGCTGAGTTAGAGAAAATGCTCATTAATGTCCCCCAGGGCAATAAAATCTTAATCTTTGAACATATATTTTCAACCAGAGAGGAAATGGTTTGTGTCACTACCAGACAAAAATATACAAGTTAAAAGTAATCTGACCAACTCTAGGTACTGACCAATAGTAAATGGTAAATAAAACAATGACATATTTCCTGGTTCTTGGGAACCCAGGTAATTTTTCCCCTCAGGGTTTATTTGGCAAAGTCTGGTGACATTTTTGGTCTTGGCACCTGGAGAGTGCGACCATCATCCAGCATACAGTCCAGGGATGCTGCTAAACATCCTATAATATAAAAACATCAGTTATTTCTGCCTCCTCTCATACCCCCAGAGAAAGATTATCCCAGCCAAAATGTCAGTGGTTCTCAAGTTCAGAGACACTACCCTAGAGAATTAAATCACCTTTGTACAGGCCTGGTAGTGCTCCAGTATGACACTGAAAGGGCTTGCTGCCATTCTTTTGTCTGTTTTGGATAATTTTTCTTACTAATGCCATAAGATTTTCCATGCAATACAATGTTTTTGTATTGTCTGAATGTACCCAGAGGAAGCAGACATAGTGAGCTAGGCTAGAGCTCTACTTCGTTATTACATTTCTTGTCCCTCTCTCATTCTATTGTTGTTTTCTTACATTTGAATTGAAAAAAAAAATCTAAAAATAAATGGTGAAGAAATGTTAAAACATTCATTATATGTCACTGCGACCATTTTAATGAATGTCATTCCATTTTCTACAGGATAACATTATTTTCAGTTGACTATATCCTTTCCTGATTGACACTATGATCCTTGAAAAATAAATAAAGCTTGATGCACAATAATGTAGTATAGGAAAGAAGTACATATCAGTAAAGCATAGACTCTCCCTGCTCCTAATTTCCTCCGGTTAGAAAGTTAAGGAAAACTGACATATTCTCTCTAAGAAAATATGGAGTTGGAAACACCATACCTCATTATTTTCAACCCTTCAATAGATTGAATTGAAAATCAGCAATTAAGAGCAGTCTTCTCTTATACCTCCAATTTAGTGAAAAGGTAAAAACAGAAGGAAAATTCATTTATAACATACTATGATATTCCTGGAACAACCACTATAATTTTTGTGTATTTGTTCAGACTTTTACTAGGAACAGCCTCATTTTCTTGTCTATTTAACTTAATGTTTTTTAATGTAACATATGTTTCTTGGAATAGACACAAGCATACTGAGATGAGGATGAAGACTTGCTTTTGTACCCAAGAAACTCCTATGTCAGTACCCAGAGTTGTAATTGTAGAGAATATGCAATAGTATATACTAATTTTTCACTTAATATTATACTATCAGAATTTTTTTCATGTTGCCACATTGTTTTCCTAATTATCATTTAATGGCGTGATTTATGTAGATTTAAAAACAGCTC